CTCCACAGGCATGACGTTTTTACGACCGGGACTTTGCTCTCTTGTTCTATTTATACTCTTTGGTAAAAACTAAAAAAGCGCAGCGGATTGGACTAAAGGTTTGTACGAAGCTGTTTAAGGACATGGTGATTTTTTTTTTATTTTCCTAACCCGTACGTACGCCTTATTAAGGCGTACGTACCCCTTATGTAACCCGTAGGTACGGGTTACATAAGGCGTACGTACGCCCTATTAAGGCCAATCAGAAGACGACTAACAATGAATTCGGCTTAGCTGTAAGGCCCTCAGCCAATCACAAACTACCTTCCATTCCGTTTGTCCAATGTAAGTAGTAAACAACACACGTCCACTTGCAAGTTTTGGATGAAGTTTATCAATGATATATCTGAGCCGATTTCAGGCATATTTTTGTGATACATGTTGTGAGAACATATAGTACGGTATGGTTGTGTCATTAAGCGTAAACAGCTTAAAGAAATTTAAGGATGTGCAACTCTGCGGAAAACAACTAATACGAGTCCTCAGTAAGACCAATGGCTATGAGTTTTCCGTCGAAGCTGATGAATAGCCTACATATAGGCCTATATGAAGAGGCTCTCGGGGAGAGTGGTGCAAGTAGTAGTAGTCAAAATTGCTCCGAATCTGTTTAAAGGTACGTGTGTTGTTACATATAACGTTAAAAATGGTATGGTATGTTTTACTTCATTGAGCACTAAGCGTCTCTTTATCACACCACACACACACACACAGACAGGAAGGCCAGTGCTTTTTTCTCAAACTGGGGTACTATCGACAGTTGATGATGTTACATTGTAGTAAACATAATAAGACAATAATTTTGGCAATGAATTGACCCTGACTGATAACTGAAGATAACTCAAGGATAGCCATGCACAATTACATAGCAACTATTTACTACTATCTACCAAGAACAATGGTTTACTACACAAATTGAATCAATTCAGTTTTTTGGGGGTAGGGTATGTGCCCTTCAGTTACTGTGCTTAGACTAATTAATTCAGGCATAATTTGATTTTAATGTCTTCATGAAAGAATATAACAACATTATTTTATTAATACTAGTACAGTATGCTTTATCTACATACGAATCCTTCACACATCAGAACAAAAAATATAGTATTAATAGGTACCAAAACTGACTTAAGCATTAATATTTATCAACACTTAGATGTCCAATTAAACATCACCACCTGCATTTAATATTGTATTATACTGATACTACTTGTTACTTTTTTTTTTGGAAAACAACTTTTGTTTAAAAGGAAACAATTAAAATAGACATTTGATCATAAAACAATCACAGTAACCTCTCTTTTGAATTAGTTTGTTTAATTAATTTTCACAGACCACAGACTCAGGTGAATGGAAGTTGATGAACCACAGCCAAAGCAAATTTTGCTCCATTCTGCATCAGCTGAAATCAATAATTAAGAAGTGCTTCCTGGTCGAAGTCATGTTCTCCCATGTAACAATAATATATTAAGTACTTTTAACAGAGAAATAACCATTGAGAAATTAGTAAGATGTGAAACGTTGAGTGGTGGAATTAGTTGAGGCTGCTATTGCAAATCAGGATGAAGCCTTGTTACTACATGAGGGATATTAGTATCTGGTGGCAATTCAGGCCATGTTATAGGCATGAATCAATTGAAAGTACTGTAGCCTTATCTGATTGGAACTGTATACTGTTCGATGAATGTTATCTATTTGATATAACATCATACCATACACTATGTTGAGAAATATTACCATATATTTTTTAATTTTTCCTTGTATGAACAGTTATCAACAACACATTTATTTTCTTTATAAATATCTGCATTGGCTTTTTGAATGGCATTGTATGGTATTTTACAATGCAATATGAAAAGAAGAAAATAACGGAACAGCACTTGCTAATAAATGATATTGAATACAGCAGAACGGTCATTATTTCTAGTTTCTTTTAAATTGTTTATACTGGATGGCTACATTGATAATATTATATAATTGTAGTATTTAACACATGTTCATAAGTGGATTGGATTGAACTCTATATTAAGCTACAGTGTGCTACAGTATTTCAATAATATTCACATAAAAGTATTCAGATTTTTGTCATAAACTCCTTCCAAACATCGTGGTTACTGTTGTGTATTTAAATTTATATACCTAGTGAATGATCAGAGAGATAATGAAAGTGCTGATGGGATGCAACTGGCTGAACTGACCTATATGAAATATCTATTTGTTTACCTCCTTATTGGAATCATCAATTACTTTTATTTATTCATTCAGTCCATATTATCAAGGTCTTCAAGCTGCTAAACAAAATTCAACTGGCATGGCAAGAAATACTGATCATTGCATGCAAATAAAAACATTTGAAATTTTACATCAGCCTCAATGTGTTTAGTATTTTTTGAAGTAATTCAGTCTCAGTTTTCTTTTAATTTTTTTTAATGTATTAAAAAACAAAACAAAACGAAAAAAAAAAAATAGAATCGAAATATTATATTGTATATTTCTGTCTTTCATTCAAAGTCGATAAACATACATCTTGCCCTTCCTACTATGCATACATGTAGGCCTAGGTAAATAACACAATACACATTCAGTAAAGCACCGTTGCCTTTGGCTTACACAAAACTACGGTATGATAGTCGAGGGAAGACTGGAAATGCGATTTACTACCTCTACAATCTTACTACTACAGTATTACCAATGTATTTTATTTAAAAAAGAAAAATACAACATCATCATACGGGGATGAACAGCATTCTTCCTTTGTCGTAAGGTAAAGTGCAAAGTGTTTGTTTTTAGCTCTTTTCTTGCCACACTAATTATTGTGTCGAATGACAAGGTATTCATTGTTGAATAAAACGTTACACAATAACTAAAATGAGCATTTACCTTAGGAAGCTGTTTATGTATTCCATTAGTGATGCGACCTTTTGCTCGTGGGTAGAAGAAGACTTGTCGGTATTTTTCACCAGGTTTCATACTTGATTGGCTAGCGAACATTACCTCCGTCAAATTTGCATCATTGTATTTTTTTCCATACATTTTTTTTCTGAGAGAGACCGTATTAATAATCATCCATTTATTTATCAATTTTATTATGTGATCACCTTCATCTTTATCATTATTTATATCATTGTCATTATATAATAATGATATAGTTTTGGAAAGCTTTACCATTAGGCCTACAGATATTTTTTCAGATTTTGTTGAAATAAATCTATTATTTATTTTATAGTTTAGAATGCTGTATCAATCTTATTAGGTCAGGCCTGATGTACTTTGAATATTGAATAATTATTACTAATACCAATATTAGTGATATTTAATATTTATTGACTTACTTATAAGAATTTATAATTCATGTTCATACACAAACCAGATGAAACTATCTAAAATGCACTTTGCCAGTTACAATGTAATAATGAATTCAAATGATTTGAATTAGAATTTACAAATTCATTATTATCATTATTATTATTATTATTATTATTATTATTATTATTATTATTATTATTACTATTACTATTGTTATTATCATAATCATTTTCATTTATATAATACCATTATCATCAAAATAATCATTATTGCAAATAAATCTATAGACCTAATCCATAACGAATCTCATAGTAACCCGTCTTATATATTATCTTTCTTTAATAGTTTTTTTTTTACGTTGCATACCTAAGGTCTACAAGATTTGACTGATTTTTAGCCCACGGCTTTAACAGCAATTCAAGCAATTCACTCAGGTCCACAAATTCATGAGTCAGTGCTTCAATCATTATAGATTTGTTTTCCGCATGCCTAAGACCTATCGGCGTCGAGTAAATTTGTCGCTCGCCATTCCTCGAAGTCGTTAGAATCCTGCAAAGGTTAAAAAACGACGATACAATGATTTTAACAATCATAAATCAATTCACTATTATTAAGCGGTCATCTTAGTATAATCAGGATCCCCGTAACCATTTTTCAGGGACCAAGGTTTCTCTACTGATTTAAGATCACTACGGTATAAATCAAACATTGAGCGGATGGAACCTCCAGAAAAAGTGGCGACAATTTTTAAAAAGTCCACCAACATTCAGATATAGGATCATAAACTTTACTTACATTTAATGAAAAAGCGTAAATCTGGTGTCTAAATATATGTTATGGGGGTCACTGAATCCAATAAGACATTTTTCAAAAAAGTAGAATGGCAGCCATTTTGACTTTAAAGATGGCCGCTGTAAAAATCTAATATTTCAGTATATGCCTACTTCCACTTCTCCTCTATGTAAATGTGGGTCTAATCATATGTTATTGGTTCCAAAATATAGTCTCAAAAAGCTAGGTTGGCAGCCATTTCGAAATCCAAGATAGAAAAATGTAAAATTTGGTGTCTAATCATATGTTATTGGGCTCTCTGAGTACAATAAACATGGTTTCAACAAGCTAGGATGGCAGACATTTTGAAATTAAGATGGCCGCCATAAAAACCATCGAAATATCGAATATATTGGTATGCAATTCCACTTTTTGATCAAAAACAGGCCGTCGGAACTGCAGCGGTTTCACCGGCTTCGGCCGGACCCATTTTTGTTCCTCAATTATGTAATTCCATGTCAAATCAACCAAAAAAAAAAAAAAAAAATTCAATCTCTTTTAGATTTTGTTCAAATTTTAGTATGTTGTTGGGACCCATGAAAAACGATCAGAAATAAAAACATTTTGATCTATGCCTCTGAATTAGCGAGATACGTGCTAACAAGTTTGAGCTAATTAGCGATACTGTGCACGTTTAACGTTATCTCGGTAAGTATAGCACCTATTGAGCTGATTTGGTGTCATTTTAAAGCTATTGAGTAGCTCTATAATAAATGCTACTTCTCAAATCGAGCATAAACAAGTTGCTATAGATTAAAAAGTTTAATGTTGAATTTAAAAAAAATACATATCTGTTTTTTTTTTCTCTTCAAAATCATACTAGAGGTACATTATGATGTAAAAAAGGTTCCCTGTAAGTCCGATGATGGGCGCTCCAACAGTTCCTGACCAATGAGAAATTATATATGACAGTCCACTCGAGAAAACAATTTAACCTCTGGGTGCTTTTCTAGGCCCAGTTTTGTGAATATAGGTCTAATGGTTTCTTGAGTCATGTGGGAAGAGTAGGATGCCATCTAAGGTCATGCTCTTTAAAAAATATTCCTATGGGAGGGTCCCTCATGAACATTACACACACGTCTTTGCCCCGGCGACCAGTCAGCTATTATAGGGATCTCTTCGGTGTGCTGTGAACATAACAAAAACATACTCTGATCAAAATCTTTAGGTCTATGTACCGCAACCACAACAACGACTTGTCACACTCTACAAAGAAACTCACAATATCACACCAAATAATATTCAGGAACATCGGAAATCTTCGTTACGGAGAATTACGAGACAGACCGACTCGCCTTCCTACCGGTGCATCGCTTTAAATAAAAACTGTTATCGCTACTCTCTATATTCGGGAACTACCAGATCCAATATTCATGGCCGCGAAACTATTATGTAGCAAAATACAATGTATATAGTATATATTGTACTGCGTACAGTTGTAGCCTTAACAAGTACTACTACGTATTGTAGCCTTACAGTACTAGTATCTGTATATTATTACAATTAGGCCTATTCCAGCCCGGGCCCGAAACCAGACGCAGGAAAACCAGAATGTTATCCGACAGGGTACATATTACTTCAGTAAATTACAAATAAATTGTAAATAATCCTTTTTCATAAATAAAATTTTTCTGGCCCCGAATTCTTGACTTAGAAATATATGAATTGTGTTCAGAGGGGAATGTTTTACTATGAATGTATGGACTTTAGTAAAAGAGTAATTTTAAACTGTATAACCTGATCGGCAAACCTATATGCGTAAAGGGCTACGGTTGTAGATCTACTCTCGAACCAGGACCCCTCAATACCTAACGTCAGTCCCATGGTGGGGCTGAGGTTGGTATAAGCTAGTCTCTATTAGCTTAAAATCTTGTGTCTCAGTAGGATGGGGATGGGTAGAAACTCTGTAGGTTTGTCAGCTTCTATTTCCGGGCATCTAGAGGTGCATACTTCCAAATGTCCGCGCCTCAGTCCCAACCATAGTGGGGGCTGGGGTAGATATGCTCACATATCCCACTAGCTTTAAAATCCTGTCTCCGTGGATAGGGGTAGCGGGTCAATTTAACAAACAAATATACCACTCCTACTATAATGCCCGGACCACTTGCAAACTGCGACGTCTATGAACAATATTTTTTATATGGTAAATTAGGTGTCTAATCATATGTTATGGGCTCTCTAAGTCAAATAAACATCGTTTTAAAGCTAGAATGGCAGCCATTTTGAAATTCAAGATGGCCGCTACAAAAATCGTCTAACATCAAATTTGTTGTTCTATAATTCCACTTCTCTACGATCAAGAAAGTTCAATTTGGTGTCTAATCACATGTTATTGGGCTCTCTGAGACCAACCAACATGGTTGAAAAAGGATGGCAGCCATTTTGTAATTCAAGATGGCCACCAAAAATAGTCGAAAATGTTAATACTTTTATATATAAGAAACGCAACTATTATTAGTGACTTATAACTCTGTAAACTTTATGTAAAAACTTCATCATTCTCTTCGTCAGAAAACGAATCCTCATTTGTGAGCTGTCGTGAAAAATTGAGTCTTGTACAAAAAAAAATCAAAATGAGTCATTGATATATTAATAGATAGATGACTATATATGCTTTATTTTGTCTTTGAATGGGTTGTGCTATAGGTAGTTGGCTCGAATCTGCTGAAGTACGGTAGTCCGGTGGCTCGAATCTGCTGAAGTACGGTAATTTGGTGTCTAATCACATGTTATTGGGCTCTCTGAGTTCAACAAGCATGGTTTCAACATGCTAAGATGGCAGCCATTTTGTAATTTAAGATGGCCACCAAAAACAGTCGAAAAATATATACTTTGATATATAAGAAATGCAACTATTGTTAGTGACTTATAACTATGTAAACTTACTGGAATAATTTAAAATAATTAACACGATTACGTAAAAACTTCATCATTCTCTTTGTCAGAAAACGAATCCTCATTTGTGAGCTGTCGTGAAAAATTTAGTCTTGTACAAAAAAAATCAAAATGAGTCATTGATATATTAATAGATAGATCCAACTCTGCCTATATACATTATGCTTTATTTTGTCTTTGAATGGGTTGTGCTGTAGGTAGTTGACTCGAACCTCCTGAAGTCCGGTAGTCTTGTGGCAATCTTTAAGTGATTGGCACTTGCTCACCCTTGCTTATAGCTGTTACGGTTTGCTTCTTTTTTTTTTTTTTTTATCATTACACAGTATATAAATTTAAGACAAACTTGGCAAGTTTTTTAATTGTTAAGTTTGTTTAAGTAATGCAAATCTCCACATGATTTCAGCAGATTTTTCCTTCTACGTTTTCCCGGACCTTTTGAAAATCGTTTTCTTCCATATCCCAAAAAAGGCCGAGTTGCTATAATAGCCAGTCAAAAGATTCTTACGATTACAACCCAACTCTGGTATCTCAACATTCTGCTAAATCAACACAATTTTCCAAAGAGCACAATACTCTATCTCATTCGACTCTCTTCTTGGTAGATTTTCTTTAATAAATCCTTGTATTCCAGACTTGCTGTAATTTTGGAATTTTGGTAAAATCTTTACTTGATGAAAACTGCTCTTGTAGCTAGCTTCTTGTGTGTATTGAGGTTGTCTGCCGTTCTTTCTTCATATGTGATCGACTCCTCATTACCATGGTTAACACATTATAATTATTGGTTTGGGAGTGAAGATGCAAAAATCTGCTGCAATCCTGTGGAGATTCCATTGCTCTAACAAACTCCAAAATTAGAAAATTTGTCTTAACATTTATATAAAATTATGACAAATCACTAAACGAGCCAACAACCTAGCATATACAAGTAACTAAACGCTTTGTTTTTCTGAATCAAGACCTCATTAATTACCAATAAACAGTGAGTGGAAACTTGTAAATGGAAAGTGTCATGCAGAGAGAAACACTGCTAAAAGATATTATAGTTGCTAAATAATATGATTCTAGATTCAAGATTCCATATAACTTCATAATATACAAGTAAATATAAATAAAATAATTACAAGACAAATGTGAAAAATAACATACAGTGCCTAAATGACTTAAATAATACAGCTAATAAAATACAATATATACAGTAAAGGAGATCTAAATGAGTTAGACAACGTTGAGTTTTTATAGAATGGGTACAAAAATAAGATTATCGGTATATGTGAAGAATGAATTAGACAACGTTGAGTTGTTATAGAATGGGTACAAAAATAAGACTATCGGTATATGTGACGGTAGTATAGTGATGCAAGTGATGT